TTAAGAGGGTTTCAAGGATTGTTTTATTTTTGCGTGAAAATCATTGCAACAATTGAAATACTGTTGCAATGGCTTCAAGACTGCTACATAAAACCGAAGCCTTATCCGTAGTAGCCATAGGGTCCATATCCATATCGTCTATATCCATATGGTCCGTATCCAGAGTAGGGACCATTTCCATAGTAGCCGTAGGGTCCATATCCGTATCGTCTATATCCATAAGGTCCGTATCCAGAATATGGATTCAGTCCTCTTCCAACGCAAAATACACCCAACTGTGGATCATGCACGAGCTTATCGGTAGCCTCCTTATCCTGAATAAGAACCGAAGTATTGTCACAGTAAGCAGACACCAGTAACCCAGAAAATAAGCGGTTTGGGTTCATTTGGTGCTAGCATTTTTATGAATATTACGAATATTAGAAAGTTTCGAAGCAACTTCCTCGTTTTTCAAGCATTGTTGGAACTTTCGTAGATTTCTCCATGAAATTCAGAAGCCTACAGGGATCGGCTAAAAACACTCAAAGCTCCACTGTAGGCAATGTGTTATAGATTGGGATAACCTACTAATCGGCGATCCAGTTACGTTGAGAAGTTTTGTTTCCGCAATAAAAGCAGAGAAGGGAATCCAGTGGGTCAGCTGTTGGGTGTTCTGTGCAAAACCCAATAGAGCATCGTGTTGAGAATTACCATCGCTCCACGGGATAGTTGCCAGGGCTACTGCTCTCTGAGGAGAGGCGCCTCACGTGAATGGACATCACGACGAGAATCCATGATGTAATTGCCCGATGGAAATGGGACCGATGGTTCATGGTTCGATGACAAAACTTTTAGCTCTCATCTTCCGGTATGACTTTCGAAAGGCTCCCTGGCGACTAAGTCAGTGGTGCTCCTCGTTCATTTACTATTCGCGACTCTGTATACTTAATGATAATCATTGAATATCACCAACGCTGTTCTGTTGAGGTGGCGGACCCTCTCCTTGAATTCCCCGGCCAGCGGCAGTGATTCAGCGGCGACTGCCGTATCCTTCCACTTGGAACTCAAACCTTTCCCTTCATAGTTCGTGATCGAGTGCGGCGAGCGCGACACGTCGTTCAAGGAGAAGATAGTAGACCCGTTGTATTGAATAATCAGAAAATTATGAAAAAAAGTCTATACGATATAACAAACCATCACTGGAGCGGCTGCCACCATAGCACAGAGAGCTAGCAGAAACCAGAGGAGCTGCATCTGAAAGAAGTAAACAGTCTTGCAGAACTTTCCCGTAGTGAATGAGACTGTAGCAAAGTGTAAGGAATCTATAGTTATCCTTAGATACTGTAGTTCCATTTCTGCCCGCAAAAAAA